TGCTGTCTCTTTGTAAGAGCAAGTTTTTCTTTTGTATCATACAACTGGGAATAAACCAAGTACAATCATTAAGGTATTTGAAATATTTCTATTAATTGGCTCACAATCACTTTAAAAGACAGTCCATAACAAAAAAGTTTTCTTGGATGAAGCAATCTACATCTTCACGCCCTGTCCACGTAAAAGTCAACTTTTACGTAAGTCCGTAACGTTTTGTGAAAGTCATAGCTCTTCAGTCGAGAAGCGTACCGAGTTGGGGAACATCTCATTTTGTAGCTTAAAGATTTTTCTTTCAAATGGTAATTAAGCAAAGTCTAGCAGCTAACGAGTTTAAGTGATATAATGTTTTTGATATACCTCACTTTCGTAGAAAAGGGTCTTATCGGCAAGAATTATAGGGAGGTGTTTAGGGCAGAGCTCGAATTTGCTTGATTACCATTTGAAAGAAAAATCTTCAAGCTACAAAATGAGACGTTCCCCAGCTTCGGGCGCTTCTCGGCTGAAGAGCTATGACTTTCACGAAACGTTACGGACTTGCGTTTTTTGGCTGGTACGCCTGGACAGGCCGTACAATTAAAACGTACTATTTTTGTTATGCTTTTCTCATATTCACATGTTTAGTTAACAATGAAGAACAGAACGCTTAAAAGAAATATGAATTGAAGTTTGCTTTTATTCTTCAAACTGTACGTGGACAGGGCGTGAAGATGTAGATTGCTTCATCCAAGAAAACTTTTTTGTTTATGATTTTTAAAGACGTAGTTTAACAGTTACAAAAGAACTGATCTAACTTATAAAATCTTGTTTCCATTATGGCAAAAGCAACTACATCTGGAACAAACATTGAACGGTTTGTTGATGTTTGCAATGAACCACGGAAAAAGTTGCTTCCAATCGAAGGCTATGAGAAAAAGTGTTTACTGACATTAGAAGAAGCAGTGAAACCTATTTCGCATTTGGTTGACGATTTATCCTCTATAGTTTGGATTGCTAAAGAAAACTGTGAGGCTCCAGCTGATAATTTATCGCAAGATGAATCAGCGGCTATCCATTTATATACCATTGAATGGAGTCCAGACAACCGAAGCTTTTATAGTGTTTTTAATCAAACATTACGGGAAGAAGATCGTCATAAATTAATTCCATGGTTCAGTTATTTGAAATTATTTCTTACTGCTCTGCACAAGTTACCATCGGAAAAACGTGTTGTTTGGCATGGTGTAAAGAGTGATTTAAGTCAACAGTATAAGAAAGGTACTAAACACGTATGGTGGGGAGTGAGCTCGTGCACTGAAACACTTGCTGTCACAGATAGTTTTCTCGGAAAAAATGGTACTCGAACATTATTTTCAATTGAATGCTATGACGGAAAAGTAATTAATGAACATTCATATTATCAGTCAGAAAACGAAATATTGCTTATGCCAGCTACCTATCTTGAGGTTGTCGATCAATCGAATCCCGCTGATGGATTATACATTGTCCATTTAAAACAAAAATCTCCTCCTTGTATCTTACTTGCGTCACCAGTATTTGCCGAAGAAGGGAGCAGTACGAAGTGGAAAGAGGCCTGGAAATTACCGAGACAAATTGATGACGGAATTGAAAAGTCTGCGATTGGTGTAGTGCCAATGGAAAACGTAAACGTGGAATATAAAATAAAGCCATCACAAGGTAAAAGCTTCTCTTTTACATGACACATGTTTTATTTAAGAGACAGTAGGAGAGGCGCGCTAAGTCAATATTTTAATAGCAATGACGATACGGCTTTTACACCGACAAGAAAAAGGAAAACTATTTGTATTGTCGTGCTTTCTTATTACCTGTGACAAGAAAAATTATTATTAAGTTCCGACAGATGCTTGTTTCCCCAGGATGAGAGTATTTGCTGTTCGGGTACCAGCTCCAGAAAAAAGGATTTGGGAGTCTGAAACGTCCAAGTAAATGAAAAACTCAGTAACAATGACATTTTCAATAAAAGCTTTATAATTCGTGGATAAAGAGAAATTTTAATAATCTGAATCTGCTCCTTCAATTAACCGAGAAAATTCGATAACAACAATAGGCTGTGCGATGCCTAAAAACCAACTATTCTCGTTTAGTGAAGGACTAAGGATCTGAAATATTTTTTTACAGGGATCCCAGAAGGCTGACCAACTTCCTACGCTGGATCGAATGGCGTTCTCGGATTATTAAAATTTCGATTTACTTATGAGTTAAAAAACTTTTATTGAAAATGTCATTATTATTGAGTTTTTCCGCTACTTGGAGGCTTTAGGCGCTGTTACACAAGGATAAGTTCCGTACGTAAGACGAAAGAGGGTATGGAGAGGCTGTGGCACGATAGCTCAGGTGATTAGAGCGTTGGCACGGAATGTCATGGTCCTGGGTTCGAGTCCCAACAAGTCATATTTTCTTTCGTTCAGTTATTTAGCATCAATTCCGAAATGACTATACATCTTCTTTAACAATCCTCCTTCCTCTTAAATCCTTTTCTCCGGGTTTCTAGCTGGTATCCGACTTTGCATGCTGAATCCAATGGTGTTCTCAGATAGTTAACATTCCCTTGTAGGCATGACTTGTATAGGTTCATGTAGAATATGAATAAAACTGTTTTCATTATTTCTAACTTTCAAATAATAGAGAAAATTTTGCTAATAATGACATTTCAATAAAATCCTCGTACCTGATGCTAAAAAGGAATTTTAAAAATCTGAGAGCGCTATTCGATTCGACGTGCTAAGCTCGACTGTCTTCATTGATACCATTAGTAATAAGTTTTTATGTCGACATACATTATGCAGTCGTTCAGCGATTCCTTCTTTTTTTTTTGTTAAATGTGCACGACGTACGCCAGGTAGAAAACTTCTGAAAGCGGGAGGATAGTCTCTGGATACTGCAGGTTGATACGTTCTTCAAGTATATGTGATTGATATTAAACTTGAGGCATTATTATTCCTAACTTCCACGTGCACTGACGTGGAAACTAGTATGGAGTAATAACTAGAATGCAGTATCTGTCGACATCGCAACTTGTGCGTAGCGCAATTGCAATCTAGTTTTTTATGTAGACAGACATTATGTGTTTTTGCTAGCATTTTTCATATTTATCAAGTGAAAACGTTAATTTTGCTAGCGCGGGATACACATTAATTACGCATCTAAACTTGATGAAACTCGAGAGTGGCCAGTATCAAATAGGTCTAACTGTTAGCGACGCTACGTTTTTATGTCGACAGACATTACGTATTTTCGTTGGGAT